TCAATAAAATAATTATTAAATCATGGAAAGTTTAACTTTCAAAATGTTAAAAAACTTGTTAATCAATAGATTAACTTTCATTTCATTTCATTTACTTTAATATGTTATTAACACAATATTAAAACAATTTATATTATTTTAATGTCATTTAAACGCTCTCAAATCATTTTATAACAATTTAAGTAAATTTAAATAATTAAGAAAATTAAATAAATTTACTCTTAATTTGCTAATAATTTACCTGTTACTTGTTAGAGATGAAGTCATTGATAATGACATTATGCCAATTTTATCGTTAGATGTAATTAAACTATTGCCATCATTTGTAGTTTTTCTGCTGTTGGTGCTGTTGAGACTTGCTATATTATTATTATTTACACTTTCATTATAGCTATCATGGTGTTTAGCCAATGGTGTCTTCGAGTTAAGTTCTTTATCCACAACAGAAATTGTACTTTCATTTTTACTCTGATTTTTGGCGGCCTCGCGAGCCTCAACTGCCTCAGCTGCTGAGTATTTTACGCGATTAAGGTAACGTTTGCTTCTACTTGAAATTATATATTAAGTTTTGTATAATAAAAAAACATATCTAATATAAAACTAAATGCTCTATGGCTTACTTCAATAATGGTGGTACAAATTTCTGACGCATTTCCATGCGTTCCCTTAGTACTTCTTTACTAGGATCAACTGGCTTATTTGCATCTCTCAATAATTTTGTCTTGCAGTAGCCAACATGGGTATCAAAAGCTTTGCGACAAAATGTTCGTCCGCAGTATGGACAATGCTCTTCTGGCGGTATCATAGAACGTTTTGATGACTCCGAAATAGATCTCTGATATAGTGGTGTGTTACTACTTGACCCTGATGCTGACGTAGTGGATATATTACGTGATACTTTTGGAGCGGCACTTGCTATTGTGGTAACAGTTGGTGACTCAGTATTTTGCAGCTGCTTTCGCTGTAAATATTTAAAGAGACTTAAAGATAACTCAAAAATGATTGATAATTTGTTATCATATTTACCGTAGTTAGTCTTGGAGACAACAACGTATGACTCACACGTGCACCAGGTAATCGGGGCGGATTATAGTTTGCTAGATCAGTTCCCTCTGTTCTTTGTCGTTTAGAATCGAAAGGTTGTCGCTTTTTTTTCGCAGTACGTTCGCAGATGCTCGCATGTTTTTCAAATATCAAAGGATGGAAAGTCCGATTACAAATTGGACAAGGAAACAGCTCATCGCTGGTATCGGGATCAGGTTGTTCTGTTGGCTCCGTTATTTTGATATTTTCTGTAAAAAATATAAATACGAATTAAGTTCGATTGTCAGTTTTTTTATTTATAATTTTTATTAAATGTAAAGTTTAGAATTTGTCAATGTTTATTTGTTTTTTTATTATTTTAAATGTAATGCTGCTATTTGTGATCATATTATTCTATAAAAATTTTTTTAACATATATAAATAAACATTGCTTAAGACCGATTTCTAATGGATTCTGCATATTTGACTGACAATTTGTTTTTGATAGATCAGTATATCATATGATAGTATCTTCTATTTGTGCTCTCTACAAAGTGTTTATCTCTAGTACTGTTAAGAAGTGATGGATTTTTTAAGTTCCTATATTCTTTAGAAATTCCAGGTTCTCATCTTTTTTCTTCACACTTTGTTATAGTTGCTTGAGCCAAATTTTGCACCACTTTGTACAATGGGCACAAGTTCTGTAATACTTCTAACGCTGCTGTTCTGCACTTGAGTTCAGTACTTTTAACTTAAGCGATAGTATCAGTGCTGGTTTAAATACTACTAGTGTCGTGAACAAGATGACTATAGCATCCCCTATCTACTATCGAGTTCCATATGAAAAATGCTGGAGCTACCACGAAGTCAATTGAGCGGTAATAAAAGAGGTTGGAAGACTAAATGGTAAACTCTTCTTAAACTTCAAACTAGAACCATTTCATCTCTGTTCTCTTGGTCCATCACGCCATAGCATGACATCTTAGATAAGGTCATCAAAGTAAAATTATGTATATAGTTGCTTGTATATGGTGTAATACATTATTCAGAAGCAAGTAACTTTAAATTTTTCTAACTTATTGTTTGTCTTCGTAAAAGAAGATTCAAAGAGTTTCAATTAATTAAAGTTATTCTCTGTTCTGCCTTTAAATCAATTTATTTGACTTAAAGGTCATAGAAATAAATACGCAAATACATATTTTATTGAGATATTCTTCTAAAAATTGATTAACTGATTAAATGTTTTAAAATAAAATACAGATATATAAACTTTAAATTTAAAATACTATATAAACTGTTAAGTCCTAAAATTTTATGAATAATTTACTAAAAAAAGTATCTAAGTAGATTGCGGTTTATAAAAATTCATTTCTTGATCTTTACAAATTTTTGGTTAAACATTTTCCTTTGCAATCGTGCAAGTAATAAACTTCACTTTCTGCCTTTATAAATAGATTGATTTTAAGATATATACATTCTTATATTTACACATATAGGTATATGTAGATCGCTTTAACCGAAATGCAGTAATTTTTTTTCATATAGCATATTTTTTATATATTTTTAAATTCAGTTGCAACCACGAAAGATATGAGTCAGAATATGTATTTGCAAAATCTTCAAGGAAAGATAGATATTTTTGAAGTTGCATGACTAACTTTAGCTAATTACATTTTCATGTTTGCTTTCTAAGCTGACAGTCTCTCAAATATAATTTCAATGGGCCGAAAACTGCTTAGATACATCATTTAATGTGTTTTTCTAGTTTTAGATTTTTACAGAAAAAGTATAAGTCAGCTCATTTTTACTAATCATAAAATCGCAGTTTTTTTTTTATATTTACAAATTATCTTATGCAGTTCAATCAATATTCAGGGACATTTATTTATTATTAATTTTTTTTAATTTATTTGAAAACTTATTTATGTGAATAAATATTATATATATCTAACATACAAATAAAAATAAAAAATTTATATCAAAAAAGATAAGCTAATCTAAGCGGTAGTGTTTAATATTCTATTCTAATATTCTAAATAATTATTCTTTAAATAATTAAAACTTTTTAACTTTATTGTCTAGAACTTTGAGTATTTTTATTGAATTAAAAAAAACAAATTCTAATCATTAAAATGTGGTTTGAGGATTTTAATATTTAAAAATATACAAATCATACTTATAATGATGGCTTAAAGTTTTTTTTGTGATATATAAATGCAATACATTGGTTTATAATCTCCTTGGAGATTACACGGAGTGATTGATACCAGGTGGTGCCTCAATCTCAGGCATTAGCTTGATGAAATAGCAGATTCTCTTTGTTCACTTGTGACAATTATTTTTTAAGACTTCATTCTTTGATCGAATCAATATTACTATAAATAATTGCTAATAATGGCCTTTCCAATTCCCTTTTTGCTCTTTTTCAATTGATATTTTAACATATGTGCACATCCCAATATATAGATGTAATACTTTTTCTATATAAAAAGATGTAATGATTCTTGTTCGTTTTGAGTCTTTTGGCGTTTGGGAATTGAACTATTGTCGATGTCAAGTATATTGCATGAATACTTGTAAATCTTTCTTATATCGCGTAAATACGACTTAACAGTGTTTATAATTATCAACACTCTTCCGCATTATTCACTTTTCTGAAGCTTTCTTTCTCATACTTTATTTGAATATCTACAGGATATCAGCTATCCCTTTCATTGCCCTCATGTCCCAGTAATCACAAAAGAGTGATATAGTTCCTCGATGTTAGAGTATTGAGAAGTTAAAAGCATTCCCACACCAACTTTGATTGGAATGAAGAGTTTGCTAATGATTTTAGAGGTGCTTGGCTGTCCGAAAGAATGCATATTTTGGTACCTCGGGTACCCCTGCGTAGGCACTCTCCCGCACACATCTCTAAGGCATGGATCTATCTCTGTTTGAAAAAAGTAAGCTGTCATTGCGATTGCTTTTCGCAATTCGACCCTACATTCCTGTTTCTGCACAGATGGGTTTTCCATTTTGGACACATTAGTATACCAAAGTGTGAGCCCTGTTTTAAGATAATTTCGTTATTTCTCCAAGTTTGCTCATGACTACTTCGAATTTGCTAGAAAGAGCTAATCTTCTATTCATCTTATCAAAGACTTTAAGGCATGCAGAATTCCACACCTCATTCAGAATTTTTACGTGTACTGTTAGATAGCCCTTTTTCCGATTATATAAAGTCCAATAAGCATTGCTATGGCTTCTGTGGGACACATTTTCAATGTTAAAATACAACTTTATATCGTATTTTTGTTTATTAAAATCAACTTGTCAATTTGCGAAGCAAATTTTGTTACCATTGAAAGCTAAAGTAATTTCGTAGAAGAATTGGAACACTTTTCTCTAAAACATTTGCAAAAATCCATATCCAAAAGTGGTGAAACGATAACATATAAAGTCTATATAAAAATAATATGCAAAAAGTACGGTTTTAAAGCAAACACGTCTATAATTAAATAAATTAAAAGATGTATGTACTCGTAGATATAAAACTCCAGTAAGATTATAGATAACCTAAATTATTTTATATCTGATTCAAATGAAATAAAACCTTAAAACTATATTTCATAATAATAATTTCTCGCTACGAAACGTGTGAACAAATTTAAAGAGCTAACAAGTATCTTAGAGATATTCGTGCTTGCAAAAATGTTAAGAACATCTGCATGGAAGACTAAATTTGGAAACACAAGTGTGGCGACTGTAACTTTAATTAATGATTATGTTGTAAGTTTTGCAGCTTTATGTGCTTATTTCAAGCAAAGAATTTTTTTAATGTTTTTGTGGCAAATTAAATTATGTTTAATATTTCTTAATTTTAGAAGACCACGGAAAAAACAACGAACTATAAACTTCACATAAACAAAACTAGTACCGCAAAATGTAGTCCATAATTAACGAAAAAAAAAACATGAACTGTAGCTTTGTGAGCCTCTTGACGTTTTTAAATTATTTAACATACACAGTGAAAACTCTATTAAACGGACGCAATCATAAATCATAAATGTTGAAATAAATATGTTTATATAACTATAAGCATTTGTATAATATATACTTAATAAAAATTTCACTTATTATACTAATATTTGTTCCCTATACACACTATAAATGGTGCAGCAAATGAAATTGGGAGAGTCCCCAAACAACAAACACAGCGAAAGAAATACCAGAACAACGTGTTGTAGATTTAGAGAATATGAAAAAATCTGAGATATTCGCGATCAGTTAACAAAGGAAAAAAAATAGTACAAGAACGTCATGTTTGAGTAGTACATTCTATTGTAATAAATAGAGTCAAAACTATATTGTTTTGTAAATCGGTTATATAGAGATTTATAAATAAAATGCAGATTAATAGCTGGAACAGCTCTGGAAAATTTAGTTCACTATTCTCATAAGATACCCATCCACTCTATCACAGCTGACCATGGTGGGCATAGATATCTCAATTTAAATAAAATATCCATATGTAACAATAACGAATTGTGACCTAAAAACCGATCTTAATTGTCTTTTTGATCACTCGGAGCAGACGGTCGCTCTTATTTTTGAGGAGTGCTCAATGGTTACCCACAAAGGCGCGATAATCGATCTGTCTAATATAATATCTGTCTAATACAATATTTTGGTTAAATATATATGCTTATATATATATTTATTGATTTTTCTTTAATTGTATAATTCAATACAATAAATACAATAATAAACGGAGCTTTTTGGAATCGTAAGCAAGCAGCTCCATGTTAAATATGTTTCTAGGATTGGATTTGGTTATGAATGTTATTATTTTTTAGTATATTGTGTTAGTAGTTAAGTGAACGGTTCTTCTGCTTCTATGTAATAAAATAAAAAATAATGTACAACAATATCAAATAAATTAAAATTCAACAGTTAATAATAACTGCTTTCTACTCATCGTTTTTATTTTGAATTTTTTTTATTTTCGATTTTTTGTAATGATATTTCTTAAAATTAATTACAAAGGCGGCTTTACCTCTTCAACACCTTTGTTGTCTTGTATTCTTACAATTCCATTTATCTTTTTTTTTAAATATTTGAGTTTGAAGTATTTTTTTTGTTAAAAAATTAAACATTATTAGAACGCCCACTTTGAAAAACAATAACAAAATACTTAGAAATCAATAAACTGTCAAAATTATTATATTTGACAGCTTCTTGAAGTTCCTAATTGCGATTACAATTTAATAAATTGTAAGCTGTTATTTATGCAAATTAATTTTTATTTTTCTTGTGAGATACACAATCAAATAATTAATAAATATTTCATTTCTAGATACTTTGTCTAATTTATATACAAGATTTTTTGTAGTGTACCGATTAGGGTTGTCTACGTTTGTTGCTTTTCTTTCTGCATTTTTTAATTGACTTATTCAATGAAGATTAAGTAACTTGTCCCATCATAGTCCATCAAAGTGATAAAATTGCATTAAAACCCATTAGGTTATTCACACGATAAAAGTTTGAACCAATTTAATTTTTTTAAAAATGAATAAATAAAAAAAATGTATATTTGTAAAATTTTTGCAAGTTTCTTACTTTATGGTTTCTTACTTTATTAAAATAGTGCTTGAACGGTTTTAACTTGTCAATGATTAATGGCAAAAAATGTACCAGAAGAAGTAATTAATTCTTGATTTTATATACTAAGTTTCGATTTATAATTAAAATAATATGTTGGTTTCCAAAACGAAATGTTTATTTACTATCCACTAATTATCAGGAATCGCTTCCTGATTTTAATTACTCAGGAAACCGTGACAGAAGAGAAACAAAAGCAATAAAGTTAAAAACTGAAAGGGTCTCATTACAATCATTGCTAAGTTGTAGATATTTTTATGTTTCCCCAAATTGAAAACAAAAACTTAATTTAAATTTAATTTAAGTTATCGTAAAATCTGCTTATTTAAATCACGCATGCAATTGTGCTTAACTTGGTTTAAATATTTACATTAAAAAATACTATTAGTTGGTCAAAAGCACTACAAATGGGGAATAAAGGAAACAGCGCCAAAATTACTAACTTACAATTTTAAAACTGTAAAGTATAAATAAAAATAATTTTATACTAAACTTTTTATATATAGTTGTGAAATAAAAACCTAACCTCATTAAATATATAACATTAAACACATAATTTAATCAATTTCCCTATTTTAAAATAATTTACTTATCATAATTGTTCCACCATTTTTCCTTAATGGGGGCTTTAAAAGCTATATATTATATTATATATACTTTTCTTTAAGAAGAAATCAAATAAATAAAGAAACTACATCCAGGCCTCAGGTAACAAATAACTGCACCCGGTATTCAAATATAATATATACGAATAATAAATAATAATGTTATCATTTTTTAAAATGGTCTAAGATCATTCATTATCAGCACAAACATAATAAATTTAATAATTAGCAATTGCTTTGTTTATAAAATGATTAAAATTTATTTTAAATCTTTTGAAACAAATTCAAATAAATATTTAATTTCATATATATATATATATTGAAACATATACATATATAAAACATATGCTCATTAATAAACAAGGGTTTAGTAAAGGCAAATATGCAAATTATATTGTGTTTATTGTTCAAAGAGGTAGATGTTAAGATAAGGGACTAGTCCATATGTAGAATTAATACCCTATTCCCATGTTCCTAACACTTCGCATATTCACACTACGTACATATCTTTAAACTAAATCACTACACCTCATTTGGTCGTCTATCAGTTCAATTATTCCCACAGTTGGTATAAATCTTGAAACCATCCTCAATAGCTAATTTCCTCCGTTTTTAAATAAGGCTTCTTTCATTTGGTTAGGATTACACTACGAGTCAGGTCCTCGAAGAAATGATTGCATTCTCTCTAATAAATGTTGAAGTTCACATAACCCCACAACTCTTCAAACATTGTTAAATCTTAAAAATATAATTAAATATACGAGTACTTAAATAGACTTAAATAAAACTAAACATTATTTTTTTTTATATTTCTGTGACGTTAAGAAGCAAACCTAATAAGAATCTCAAAACCGCTATTACGAAAAGGTACTAATGTTGCTCGACCTAACTAGCACCTCCTGCAGATATCTATTTTAGGTTAAATAGGACAACTACTATATTTTATTAAGAAAGTAGGTCTGTAACGATCATTCTAAATACATGAATGGAGTAAAATAAATTTTGTGATCCTAGCAGTAATAATAATAATAAAATAAGCGGTCGTGTCTACATCTTGGAGTCAGTCTTCAACGGTAAAAAAGTAGTGCTGAATATTATGGTTGCAGTGCTGTGGTAATTTCGTTTGAAAGGAACGACACAACAATAACAAAATTTAAAACATATATATATGCACATATACATATATATATATATTTTTTTTTGTATTACAACTATTAGAACTGTAGCTTTATGGAACTTTTTTTTATTTTTCTTAAATTGGAACTTTTTTTAGGTTTAAGCGAAAAGATTGATATATTTAATATATAATATATTATACAGTAGTATATAATATATTATATACATGTATTTATATTATAAATAATACATATATTTATTAACTATATATATATACTATATATGCTTATATTATATCTATATATATGTGCTGAAATAAATTCTAAAAGGTTCATGATATTTTAGAATGATAGATAAACTCATAGAATTGACACCTTTGAATTGTGTGTCAAGGACAGAGTATTGAAAATAGTTAACTACAGAGATAAGTGTCAATATAAAAGGTTTTCCATACTCAAGACGCAGAGTACCCTTATAAAGGGAAAACAGAAAAGACCTTATCTTTTAATACTGACCAATTAAACTTAACTAACCATTCAAACTAAAAATTAAATCATATTCTTGATGCCAATTGGAATCAATCAATCGTCACCATATACTCATATACGAATATACTCTATAACATATATAGTAGATGTGAAAATTGCTATTTGATCGCGATGCAATGGTGCGGCACTACTAACAACTTTTGAATTTTATGGAATCTGATATATACGATGAAGAAAAAATTAGAAAAAATCGAAATACGAGTATGTTCATGTTGGAGTTAGTAAGTTAAGTGAGCAGATGCATTAATCAGAAATACAAAAATCAAAATCTAAATAAAGTAAAGGGAATGAATTGTTATTTTACGTTTTGAAACATGCAGGCATTTGTTGGTGTTAGTCAAGTTAGCAACATTGCAACATGTTACGGGCGATCGCGCATGTTTTGCAATATCATTGACAGCGACTTTTGTATAAGCGGCAACATTGCTATCGTCATTGAATGCATTTGGAGCATCACAAACAATTTTGCTAACAACAATTATATATTGTGAAGAACGTCTGGAGCAGGTTGATATCAATGAATGAGTGGATGCATGCAATGGAGGCGGCACAGTAGCAATATTCGTAGACTCACTTTTTTTATTATTTTTAGAAGTTGATCGTTCTTTTGTTTTGTTTTTTTTTAATGTTGCACTTCCGTTTTCATTGCAATTGCTGCTGTTGTTGCCGTTGCCTCGGGCTTTGGACGATTTTGAATCTTTTTGCTGTTGAGTGCTGCGCTTAAGCGTAAGAGTATTGACAACTTTTGCGAATGTTGACTGCTGCTTCGGATTGGAACCGGGCACTGTTTCAACACTTTGCAAAAAAGTGTTGCCAGCGACAATTGCAATTGAAGGTGCAATCACATCATTTTTGGTTTGATCATTTTTCACTGCGGTTACTGCAGCAATTATATTTTCGTTCGTTTGGGGTTTATTTTCTTTAAATTTTTTTAAGTTATGTGCGCTTTTTTCACTATTCACTAAACCATTTAATTGCTGATACTCTTCATAAATGCTGCAACGTTTATAATTTATATCCGTATTACTTGAAACGCTGGCGGGTATCTTAGCACTTTTGGATGATTTCGATTTGAAAATCTTATTCCACATTTTCTTACTCATTTTTAACAAAATATTGTTAATTTCTTTTAAATTAAAAAATTATTTATTATTTTATAACATGATTTTTTTTGAACACCATTAAAATTTTGGCTTTTCAGCCCAACATATTTCATAAGAAATAGTTCAAAATCTCTTTCACGCCAAAGTCTTATAAAACGCGTTCACACCGCTTGTCGTTTGTTATCTTCATCGTGCGACGGTCGATTGTAAACTGAAATCGCTGCTCCACTTTATACCAAATCTCTGGTGCTCCAACAATTCTTCAACGCAGCTCGCTATGCTTCAACATATGTGCTGCGGCGGCACTGTTTGCTACTGTTCCGTTGTTATTTTGTTGTCAGTTTGTCTGTCTGTTTGTATTCGTTGGCAGCTCCATTCAAAAATTATTTATTTTGCCTGCCTGCCTGCCTGCTATGCTTCTTTTCTAGTCTTTCTTTAGTGGGAGTCACTTCTCGATGGTGTTCACTTTATATATTCTGCACTCGTTGTGAGTTCTTGAACGCGCATGGAACTTCATATGGAAAACAATTAAAATTGGATTATTTCAGTTATTAATTGGTCGTAAATGAAAGGCTTGAAAATAGAGCAATCTTTATTGGATTTATTACTTTTAATAATTTTATATCAATAAAAATAAAAATAATAATAATAAGCATTTGAGAACTTTCAGTTATTTACGGATTTATGCATTTCATTTAAATGGAATGCAAAGAAGAAACTCTGTAACAAAACATGAATTTTCCGCTTAATTATATTCAAAGTTATGAAGAGCGTATCATATTATTCCAATTTCTTTCACACTTTTAAAAAATGCTTTTAATTATATCTAGAGTAGTTAAAATATTTTATTGATATGCTTTTATATAAAATTTTTAATTTCAACTTTACAATTATAATTAACAATAGTTTAAACCGAAGCTGTTGATATCAGTTTGTAGAGTTATCATCCATTTCGATACCATATAATGTTTTTCGCACGATAACTGACTTTTAGAAAATATATTGTACTCAATTAGTTTTGGATTACAACCCATAGCATTTAAACATTGAAGATAATTTATAAGAGGGTTTCTACAGAAAGCTTTGCTTTATTTGCTACAATCTTA